CACCGGGTGACACCATTTAGGGGGGTGACACCAAGGCAAAAAATAGCAGAATATATAGAGAAAAATTTGAGGGGGGGTGCAAATCGAAAGTTTGAGGGGGGGTGCAAATCGAAAACTTGAGGGGGGGGGGGTGCAAATCGAAAATTTGAAAGTTTGTCCCCGGTAAGGGTCGCTACGCCTCTGGGGGGGGGGGGGGTGACACCATTAAGTGCCGCACCGGGTGACACCCGACCTCGCTACGCCACTGTATATATATATATATATATATATATATCTCTTTAATCCACTTTAAGCGACTTACCCATCATATAAGCATGAAGCAGAAAAACAATGACGATAATTCCAGCGGTTAACGTAAGACACAGAGCGGCAAGAAATAGTTCACATTTTGTCCAGCCATATAGAAATGTAAACGTTGATTGGCCATGTTGCGTAGGACACTGGTCCCTGACAGAATAAATGATTGCATGAAATTTAATTTAATTACGAAACACCTAATAACATTCTCAATTTAGTAGCTACATCTAATCCACCTACAGCCAGTAGCTACATCTAATCCACCCACAGCAAGTAGCTACATCTAATCCACCAACAGCCAGTATCTAATCCACCCACAGCCAGTATCTAATCCACCCACAGCCAGTAGATATATCTGATCCACCCCAAAGCCATTAGCTACATCTAATCCACCCACAGCCAGTATCTAATCCACCCAAAGCCAGTATCTAATCCACCCAAAGCCAGTAGCTACATCTAATCCACCCACAGCCAGTAGCTACATCTAATCCACCCATAGCCAGTATCTAATACACCCACAGCCAGTAGCTACATCTAATCCACCCACAGCCAGTATCTAATCCACCCACAGCCAGTAGCTACATCTAATCTACCAACAGCCAGTTTCTAATCCACCCACAGCCACTAGCTACATCTAATCCACCCAAAGCCAGTAGCTACATCTAATCTACCCACAGCCAGAATCTAATCCACCCACAGCCAGTATCTAATCCACCCACAGCCAGTATCTAATCCACCCACAGCCAGTATCTAATCCACCCACAGCCAGTAGCTACATCTAATCCACCCACAGCCAGTAGCTACATCTAATCCACCAAAACCCAGTATCTAATCCACCTACAGCCAGTATCTAATCCACCCACAGCCAGTATCTAATCCACCCACAGCCAGTAGCTACATCTAATTCACCCACAGCCAGTATCTAATCCACCCACAGCCAGTAGCTACATCTAATCCACCCACAGCCAGTAGCTACATCTAATCCACCCACAGCCAGTATCTAATCCACCCACAGTCAGTATCTAATCCACCCACAGCCAGTAGCTACATCTAATCCACCCACAGCCAGTATCTAATCCACCCACAGCCAGTAGCTACATCAAATCCCCCCTCAGCCAGTAGCTACATCTAATCCACCCTCAGCCAGTATCTAATCCACCCACAACCAGTATCTAATCCACCCACAGACAGTAGCTACATCTAATCCACCAACAGCCAGTTTCTCATCCACCCACAGCCAGTAGCTACATCTAATCCACCCACAGCCAGTAGCTACATCTAATCCACAAAAAAGCCAGTATCTAATCCACCTACAGCCAGTATCTAATCCACCCACAGCCAGTATCTAATCCACCCACAGCCAGTAGCTACATCTAATCGACCCACAGCCAGTATCTAATCCACCCACAGCCAGTAGCTACATCTAATCCACCCACAGCCAGCAGCTACATCTAATCCACCCATAGCCAGTATCTAATCCACCCACAGCCAGTATCTAATCCACCCACAGCCAGTAGCTAATTCTAATCCACCAACAGCCAGTTTCTAATCCACCCACAGCCACTAGCTACATCTAATCCACCCACAGCCAGTAGCTACATCTAATCCACCCACAGCCAGCATCTAATCCACCCACAGCCAGTATCTAATCCACCCACAGCCAGTAGCTACATCTAATCCACCCACAGCCAGTATCTAATCCACCCACAGCCAGTAGCTACATCTAATCCACCCACAGCCAGTAGCTACATCTAATCCACCCACAGCCAGTATCTAATCCACCCACAGCCAGTATCTAATCCACCCACAGCCAGTATCTAATCCACCCACAGCCAGTATCTAATCCACCCACAGCCAGTAGCTACATCTAATCCACCCACAGCCAGTAGCTACATCTAAACCACCCACAGCCAGTATCTAATCCACCCACAGCCAGTATCTAATTCAACCACAGCCAGTATCTATTCCACCCAAAGCCATTAGCTACATCTAATCCACCCACAGCCACTAGCTATGCCTTATCCACCCCACAGCCAGTAGTTTTATCTTATCCACCCACAGCCATTAGCTACATCTAATCCACCCACAGCCAGTAGCTACATCTAATCCACCCACAGCCAGTATCTAATCCACCCACAGTCAGTATCTAATCCACCCACAGCCAGTAGCTACATCTAATCCACCCACAGCCAGTATCTAATCCACCCACAGCCAGTAGCTACATCAAATCCCCCCTCAGCCAGTAGCTACATCTAATCCACCCACAGCCAGTATCTAATCCACCCACAACCAGTATCTAATCCACCCACAGACAGTAGCTACATCTAATCCACCAACAGCCAGTTTCTCATCCACCCACAGCCAGTAGCTACATCTAATCCACCCACAGCCAGTAGCTACATCTAATCCACAAAAAAGCCAGTATCTAATCCACCTACAGCCAGTATCTAATCCACCCACAGCCAGTATCTAATCCACCCACAGCCAGTAGCTACATCTAATCGACCCACAGCCAGTATCTAATCCACCCACAGCCAGTAGCTACATCTAATCCACCCACAGCCAGCAGCTACATCTAATCCACCCATAGCCAGTATCTAATCCACCCACAGCCAGTATCTAATCCACCCACAGCCAGTAGCTAATTCTAATCCACCAACAGCCAGTTTCTAATCCACCCACAGCCACTAGCTACATCTAATCCACCCACAGCCAGTAGCTACATCTAATCCACCCACAGCCAGCATCTAATCCACCCACAGCCAGTATCTAATCCACCCACAGCCAGTAGCTACATCTAATCCACCCACAGCCAGTATCTAATCCACCCACAGCCAGTAGCTACATCTAATCCACCCACAGCCAGTAGCTACATCTAATCCACCCACAGCCAGTATCTAATCCACCCACAGCCAGTATCTAATCCACCCACAGCCAGTATCTAATCCACCCACAGCCAGTATCTAATCCACCCACAGCCAGTAGCTACATCTAATCCACCCACAGCCAGTAGCTACATCTAAACCACCCACAGCCAGTATCTAATCCACCCACAGCCAGTATCTAATTCAACCACAGCCAGTATCTATTCCACCCAAAGCCATTAGCTACATCTAATCCACCCACAGCCACTAGCTATGCCTTATCCACCCCACAGCCAGTAGTTTTATCTTATCCACCCACAGCCATTAGCTACATCTAATCCACCCACAACCAGTACATATATCTGATCCACCCCACAGCCAGTAGCTACATCTAATCCACCCACAGCCAGTAGCTACATCTAATCCACCAACAGCCAGTATCTAATCCACCTACAGCCAGTATCTAATCCATCCACAGCCAGTAGCTAATTCTAATCCACCAACAGCCAGTTTCTAATCCACCCACAGCCACTAGCTACATCTAATCCACCCACAGCCAGTAGCTACATCTAATCCACCCACAGCCAGCATCTAATCCACCCACAGCCAGTATCTAATCCACCCACAGCCAGTAGCTACATCTAATCCACCCACAGCCAGTATCTAATCCACCCACAGCCAGTAGCTACATCTAATCCACCCACAGCCAGTAGCTACATCTAATCCACCCACAGCCAGTATCTAATCCACCCACAGCCAGTATCTAATCCACCCACAGCCAGTATCTAATCCACCCACAGCCAGTATCTAATCCACCCACAGCCAGTAGCTACATCTAATCCACCCACAGCCAGTAGCTACATCTAAACCACCCACAGCCAGTATCTAATCCACCCACAGCCAGTATCTAATTCAACCACAGCCAGTATCTATTCCACCCAAAGCCATTAGCTACATCTAATCCACCCACAGCCACTAGCTATGCCTTATCCACCCCACAGCCAGTAGTTTTATCTTATCCACCCACAGCCATTAGCTACATCTAATCCACCCACAACCAGTACATATATCTGATCCACCCCACAGCCAGTAGCTACATCTAATCCACCCACAGCCAGTAGCTACATCTAATCCACCCACAGCCAGTATCTAATCCACCCACAGCCAGTATCTAATCCACCCACAGCTACTAGCTACATCTAATCCACCAACAGCCAGTTTCTAATCCACCCACAGCCACTAGCTACATCTAATCCACCAACAGCCAGTAGCTACATCTAATCCACCCACAGCCAGCATCTAATCCACCCACAGCCAGTATCTAATCCACCCACAGCCAGTATCTAATCCACCCATAGCCAGTATCTAATCCACCCACAGCCAGTATCTAATCCACCCACAGCCAGTAGCTACATCTAATCCACCCACAGCCAGTATCTAATCCACTCACAGCCAGTATCTAATCCACCCACAGCCAGTAGCTACATCTAATCCACCCACAGCCAGTATCTAATCCACCAACAGCCAGTAGCTACATCTAATCCACCCACAGCCAGTAGCTACATCTAATCCACCCACAGCCAGTATCTAATCCACCAACAGCCAGTATCTAATCCACCCACAGCCAGTAGCTACATCTAATCCACCCACAGCCAGTATCTAATCCACCAACAGCCAGTAGCTACATCTAATCCACCCACAGCCAGCAGCTACATCTAATCCACCCACAGTCACTAGCTTCATCTAATCCTCCCACAGCCAGTAGCTACATCTAATCCTCCCACAGCCACTAGCTACATCTAATCAACCCACAGCCAGTAGCTACATCTAATCCACCCACAGCCAGTAGCTACATATAATCCACCCACAGCCAGTATCTAATCCACCCACAGCCAGTGTCTAATCCACCCACAGCCAGTAGCTACATCTAATCCACCCACAGCCAGTATCTAATCCACCCACAGCCATTAGCTACATCTAATCCACCCACAGCCAGTAGCTACATCTAATCCACCCACAGCCAGTAGCTACATCTAATCCACCCACAGCCACTAGCTACATGTAATCCACCCACATCCAGTAGCTACATCTAATCCACCCACAGCTAGTAGCTACATCTAATCCACCCACAGCCACTAGCTACA